AGCTTCAGACATGCCAGCCGGCAAGTGTCAACCATGGCGTCAACGCACGCCATCGTGTGTAGGGGCTGTATGGAAACGCAGCATAAAGTGAGCCGGTCCTAACAAGGCCTAGCCATACCGAGCGAGGCCCTGTAGTGGAAATGTTCCAAGAGATGCCCAGAGACTCAGAAGGCTGCAGAGATCTGTGAGCTCGGACAGAGGGCATTTGAGTGTAAGCCTACAATCTACATTCATCATTATTAAATGAGAACTCACATAAATCACTTTAAACCAATCCCTGACAACTTCATTGCTAATTATAGTCCCCCATTATGTCAGTGTTACTACTGTCACTTTAACAAGAGCAGCAGAGGATACTTCACATGTCCAACTGTTAGCCTCTTTCCTCTGCACAAAGCTAACTGTTCCTCTCTGCCACAGCCTGTCAGGACAAGCAGAGGGTAAATATTACCCTTGTTAATGATGAGAGACATCAGGCTCCGTCTGTACGAACACAAATCAACATGGATGACATGTTGAGATCACTGCGTCTGCAGAAAGACCAGGACTAAATCATGTCTAATGTGTCAAATATATCTGTAATTCCAAAAGGCCTCTACATGTACGTGTGTGTGTGTGGGTGGGTGTGTGTGTGGGTGTTTATGTGTGTGTGTGTGTGTGTGTGTGGGGGGGGGGGTGTGTGTGGGTGTTTGTGTGCGTGTGTGTAAAGGCAAAGCACTTATTAATCTGTCCTTGGCCTTTCGCTGGCTTATGAAGTCCTGATTGTGTGTCATTGTTTTGGCTTCATTTATTTGAACACACACCCCATAATCACGCTCGCAAATATACGGCTTTAAAAAGACGAGCTGCCATTTTCATCATGGCTCTAACAAAGTGCATTTGAAATCTCTCTGACTTCCCCTGAGCTGAGGCATCAGGGCTCACACAATACCAATCAGAAGAGAAATCTCTCGGCTTCAAAGCTTCAAGCTTGACTACATTAATAATATTAATAAAACAGCAAATTGAATGTGTGGGCTGAGAGGTGGGGGGAGAAAGTGTCTTGAAATCCTCTAAAGACAGCCGTCTTTGTCTCTGACTCTTGTTTCTCTTTTCATTATTGGCTCATTGAAAGTGAAGGCTAATGACAAAATAGCGGGCTAATTCCTGTAATTATGTGTGTTTGTCAAAGGAAATGTGCGAATGACAGCGCTTCTCCTTCTTCTGATCTTTAAGCCAGTAGCTTTGGGGGTGGCATTGTTACTAACAAAGCATTTAAAGACAGGTCATGAATTAGTGAGGTATACATGTAGGTGGCAGCAGAAACACAGCTCCCCGGGGAAAGCTTGAAAAACAAACTTAACCTCTGACCTTTAGCTTCATTGTATTATAGTCAATAATAGTTGTGCATGAACACATGTAAAATATTTACATGCCTATCACAAAGTTGAGGCAAAAGCTGGAAATGAATGAAGGACACAACACAAATGTTACATTATGGGATAGAACAAAAGAGAGCTGAGAGCAGCGGAGGGAACCGGCTCAGGGTTCCGAGGGGTCTATTGTTCCGTGTCTCTCTGAAGCTGCACAGGAAGACGCTTTAGTCTGTTTGACCTCCATAGGAAAACTATTTCGAATACCACAATATTTTTAACCTTCATAATAAATTGATTCAGCAATAATGTGAGAGTAAACAAAAGAATGCATTATAGTGAGCATAGAGGTTGGATAGAGGCTGATGGTGCAGGCTTTTTAGAAAACAGCTGATACTCAGTTTGTGATTCCATAAATGCTTGAGTTTCTGGATTATTTGTAGTAACCCAATTATTGAGTTGGTCACAGCAGCTACCCAGTGTCTGTTTGTGTCTCATTTAAGAATTGCCAACATCCAAGGACCAGTTAGAACAAAACTTTCCAAAAGCTTATGTGTCTTAATTTGGAGAGACAAACCAATTCTCTAACACTGAGAGATATTTGAGTGTTTATTTCATATGCACCCTTTATTCATTGCATTTTGAACATTTTGGTTACAACGCTCAATGATTTCTTGGATTTCATCAGAGGTGGAATAAGTGATTTAAGCAATACGAAATTGTAAAAATACTCATGTAAAAGTCCTGCATTGAAAATCTTAAGTAAAAGTACAAAGGTATCGGCCTCAAAATATACTAGAGTACTCGTGTGCGCGATGGCTCATCTCATAATCGTAATTTAAATGACTGCATTATGATTATGTATGCATTAATGTGTCTATAACAGCTGGTCAATGTATTTGATCTACTTTATATTCCGCTGCTGAGTATCTTCACTTATAATGTAGTGTTTTATATGTAGTTTTCATTATTATATGTCGTTTTTTAATTAGATAATAATTTAAATCTGTAAAGTAAGTAAAGTTTTCAGATAAATGTAGTGAAGTAAAAAGTACAAGTATCATTAAATGAAAATAATCAGTACAATTACCTCAAAATATAACTTAAGTAAATGGAATCACCTAAAAATATCCACCACTGGATGAAACAGATGGAATGGATCATTAAAAAATGTAATGCAGCACAGTGCTACAGGGTCCAGTCCGGACTCAGGAAGGCTCTTTGGAGCGCCCTGAGTTTAACTAATTAATTCATTGAATTAGCATCGATATTTCAAAAAGCGTTTGCAGAGAGAAAAGCACAAACAAGCCTAAAACAATATGGCAGACATCGGGACGACTACAAATATTGCATATCTGCCGGCAGATGTTCTGAAGGAGTATTGTAAAGGAGGCAAGTGTTGAGATCAAAGCAGAAATAGCTAACCAACATGAAATAGGATGTAGTACAGTCATCTTGTGGCCCAGGTCACATTCAGTCCATGAATGGAGACATGTACTTTAGTTTCCAGTGATTCTGTCAGCTGATTATGTAAATACTGAAGTGTTTATCTGGTTCAGATTAGAGAGAATAAGGTACATATTCACAAACATGCATACAGACGAGCAAAGTAGCAGTGAGTTGCACAGTCTCTTATTTGATTCTGTCATTAGATATCATTATTTAAATCCCCTAGGGATTTGAATGCTGTATGTGAAGTATATATTTTTGAAATGCTCATTAACATATCCATGCATGCACAAAGTCTGTTTATGGTTGCTGGCTGTGCAGTTTCCATTTATTTCCATGGAGTGAGTTTATTGTTAGTAAACCTGGATGTCATATCTGAATCTACCCTGACACACACACTTCTTAACAAGCATGAACACCATTCAATACACAGAGCTGCAGTGAGCTGCTCTCACCATATTCAACAGAAGGAGAACACACACAAAGTTTATGTGGAGTATACTGCTGTTTTAAATAGTCAACACCAGACTCAATGTGTGTGTGTGCGTGTGTGCGCGTGTGTGTGCATGTTAAGTGTTCAGGAGTACCTTTACACCTGAACACTTAAGAAGGTTACACAAATATTCAATTCAAACAAACAAATTCTAATGAGCTTACATTCTGTCTGTTTTTAACCAAGTGAAGCTTTAACAAGTACAAAGAGTGTCAAGCCCCCTGTTATCGTCCCATGATTTCATTGGTTAGTCATGTAGCTCTGAACCCTGCCATTAACTGGAAGAGAGCACACATGTGGGAGGGCAGCCGAGCCGGGGACTAAAGTGCCACTTGGAGAGTTTGGGTCCCTCCAGATTGCCGTAGCAACTATTCTACTTCATAGCTATTTGAGGGAAACCAACCACACCTATTCAACCCTCTCACCCTGTTTCCACCGTCCCCTTCCCCTAACCCCCCCCCCCCCCACACACACACCACACACACACACACACACACACACACACACACACACACACACACACACACACACACACACACACACACACACACACACACACACACACACACACACACACACACACACACACACACACACACACAACCTTGCCCTGTAAAGGGTTGAGTGGCTCTCTACTGCCACTTCTGTAAGAATAATACACTCACAGCGTAAATGTATTCTGGTTACTGAATAAGTGCCTGTGTTTAGTTTCATACTCACCTGGGTGAATCACTGGTGGGGGAGTTTTCGGGGAACTAAATGAAAAATCCTGTGTTTCTTGGTAAAGTGTTTCTATATGGGAGCAAGCTTGATAACACAATATAAACTACTAAGGGAAAGTGTATTTTCCCCCGAAGCTTTGCAGTTGAGTCACAAATGTACCGGCACCTTATATGGTAACCTCTCAAAAAACAACGTAATGTCCTGCTCAACACTGTCTAATTGAACAACTATATATAGGTAGAAATAAACAGAGGACCAGATAACCTGTAATTCTACACCTCATTCTTACTAACACACTGCTAGCCACCACTACTAATGCTAGATGCTATCATTGTAAAAAAGAAGATCAAAGTGGTGACTGCTAATTTACAAAGAGGCAAAATCATTAAAATGATGTTTTCAATCTGCTGTGATGTTGAACAGATCAGTTAACAATGCAGTCATTTGTTTTCCAAAAGGGAAAACATTTCCAAAATGGCTGCCAAATGAACATCAAAGAAGATCTCCTAAAATGTAATAATGAGTTAAAAAAAGAAGAAGTAAAATAGATGGGTTAGACCCATATAAAGCCAATGCTAAGACTTTTATTATAAAACAAATTAGTAATCGACTCTTTTCCTGCTCATCTGCTCGCCTGACTCCACTTGGTGGCAGTGTTGCTTCACAAGACTTCTCATAACACAGCCCAGCTTTTCTCTAAGGGACCGAAGTGAAAATGTAATAATTGTGTGTAAACCCAGCATTAATTATGACCATCTCAACAAAAGTGGACCGCCATCTTTACTACATTTAAATATAGCAATAAACTTCCTCTGAGGTCATGGTTTCAGTCATTATATTATATAGTTTCTGAACCTGTAGAGAACACATTCTGCATTTGGTGAAGTACATACATTTCATCCTGTAGGTTTATCCAATGTTTGAATTATAATCATACTACAAACTCAGAGGAAATTAGCAGAATAAAGACTACCAACAGAATGTTCTTTGAAATACACATACTTTATTGGTGACAGTCTGACAGTGATTACATGGCATTGATCAAAAGACACCCATTACAGTAATAGTTGTCTTTTGATCAAATGTTTTTTTTTTTTAATTGCAAGAGAAGAAGACATTTGAGTAAGTGAAGATAAATGCATCATCAATAAAGGAAATAAAGAACAAAGTGTACATTTGTTGTGTTTCAGAGTGGCTGAGATGATCCTAACTAAAGCTCAATCATTCTAGCAGTAATATTATAGTGTATTTTAAATAGTATTAAGCAGATACCTTTACATGATTCAAGCTGGCTAGGCTGCAAACTCAGATTACATCCTGAACCACTCAGACTGACCAATCCAACAACTGACATCTCAGCCGAAGTGTCACGTGCCGCTGAGAGTAGAAGGCTAATGTCCACTAAATATGTCTTCATATAATGTTATCATAGTTTTAATTTGAAAACTGCTACATATCAGAATCCTGTGCATTATACTCAAGGTTTCACACATAACATTGTAATTATCTACTCAAAGAATCAATAAAACATGGTGTTATTATAACCTTCTGGTTCATATCCATCCTTTGTGAGTAGAGAGTTGTGTAGAGGAATACAAGCTTATGAGATCAGTTCAGATCAGTAAAGTATGTGAGGTGCTGCTCTACTGTCAGTTCAGAGCATTAGCATGGATTAGCATTAGCTCAGAAAACAGAAGCAGCAGCAGAGTATTATACACAGCACAGCCACGCTCCAACCTGTGACAGGGCTGATAAGCACACAAGTTATTATATAACACTACAATCATCATCATCATCATCTTCATCACAGTGCCGAACCTTGATTTTGTGTATTAGTAGCAAACAACTTATTGTTGGTAGCTTGTTGCTGTTTAGTCATTCCTATGCGACACATGCGACACGTGCATGCAGAAAGAGAGCCGGATAGCATCCCGAGCGACTTTGTACATTGAAAATGAAAAGCGAGACAAGCTTTGATTCACAGTTAAAATGGAAAACCTGTCTTTAAGATCGTACTATTTAGAAACCAAGATCCCAGAAACACTAAATGTCAAAATTACTAATAAACCTGCTGGTTAATGACTGAAACATTACTCGGCCTTTTTCTGGAGCAAAACCGAAGAAACATCCACAGGTTTATTCTTCTTCCAGTTTTTATCACGGTGATACTTTGCCTCTTTACGGGATGTTTTGTTTCTAGCTCCAAGCTAATAAGCTAGCTTAGAGACTTGTGCAAGTCTTGTGAACACCTGTCTCTTGAGTTGTGTGAGGATGTGGTGACGCTCATGGTCAGGTACACACATCAAAGTCATGAACTGGAAGTGTCCAACTGTAACACAGCAGGAAGAAGGTGCAGCGTTCTGTACAGAATAAATGTAACTATGAAAGCTAACGCTAACGTAGCTACTCTGATGTTTAGCCTACTGTGACCTTCACACATGAATTTGCACAGTTGCAGTAGCAGACTTTTTTGACAATGGTGACCTAAATTGAGGAAGCTATAATATAAGCTGTTGTAGTTTCCGTGTATCGAATTAATCAAATTGATGAAACACCAATAGAGCATTTTCCCATGAATAAACCTAGCAACAACCATGATGTCACTACATCACCAGGCTTCATCTTTCTACCAATGCTGTTTTAATACAGGAAAAGGAACTTCCATCCTGTGAAGTGTTAGGGTGAATGTTGAACATTTAGATGTGGCAAAGTCCTTTCACAGATTTACAATCAGTGCGATGCTCAGTGATTACATCTGAAGTCACATATACAGTATATAAAGCTGAGTGATGAAAGGATGCTGATGGGATGCAGTGTATGCACTGATGGGGTGAGTCAATCTTGACATCACAATTATTATACTAGGCACTCTTTTACTTAAGACTTTAATAAGTAAACCTTTCATGATCATCTGGAAATGTGGCTCTTCACTGGATTATTGCTGACTATGCTTCAGTCTTTAACAAAGAAAACAATTTCTAAATGAAATGGCTTAATTGTATTTCTTCAAAGAATATGTAATAATTATGATCCTACAGTTCAGCGGGTGAGATGTAAAGGGGACCGGACACAGACTCTGCTACCATTTCAAGACTGAAATGCTTTAAGGACGGAGGTATTCAAGTTTATTTTGTGTTTGCGAAAAAAAAGCGCACATCCACTCTCACTTTAAACAGAGCATCCAACCTGCTGCGCCTCATGCTATGGAGAAAAACAATTTGAGATGTGAAAGCACACACAAACACACACACACACACGGTTCTAAAGCTGCAGAATAAACGCTAAAAATCTGTACAATATTTAAATACTGTATTTACACAGAAATAAACACACTTCATTTCTTGTCTCAGCTGGCCTGCATCTTTGTGCAGAACAATAATCTATTAGTCAGAAGCATAAACAAATAAAGGCAACAGTTATGCGCATTGATGGCTGTACTTGCTATTCAGATTGAGCTTGCAGCACATTTCACATTCTAGGATTCAGATTTGACTGTGGATCATTTTAATGGAACATACTGGTGGTTTTGCATGATTTGGCTGATTGGCTAAATTCAGATATACTAAGCATTGCCAGTGATTGTCAAAAGTAAGCCATAAGATTTACATTGACTTCCCATGTTATACCAGGCCGGGTTTTTACCTTTACAGTACATATGGTAATACTTCAGTGCTGACAAATGGTTCTGGTCTCTCAATTAGTAAAATACATACTGATATGTTCTCCTAATGTTGCTGTAAAAACAACAAAGCTGTAGATGTTTATCTGTTAAATAACCAATATATCCACAAAGGCTATCTGTAAACAAATGTTAAGCAAATACACAAATCAGAATTAACGCTAATGTTGCTTCAATTCTCCTGGATGTGAATTCTAACCCTTTTGGCTTCTGTTTTAACAGCTTGTTTTGCTGCCCATGAATTGCCAATAAGCCCTATGGTTGGTCCCTTCTTCATCTAGGGACGATTTGTTTCATACAGTCATACAGAGTTCTTTATATGAACACGCTAAATAAGCTAATGGTTCAGCCTGATGTTTTTGTCGAGGGTTTCTATACTTTAGTGAACCTGCTTACAGCACTACCATAAAGTGAATCCATCTCCTTTACTGCAATACACAGGAATGAGAGGGAAAGGTCAAACAAAAGAGTATGCTTTGGAAAACACTGGCAGCACTGTGACATGTGACAGTTTACTCTGTCAAAAGAGCTGAATCATGCAAAACCATGATGACATGTTATTCGTTTACAGATATACATTGATCTGCTGTAATCTGAAGCAAAGAAGATGCAATCTGAATGTGTATCCACTATAGGCGCATTCACACCGCAGTACTTTTCCCACAAAGGTTCATGAGAACTTAGTTCATGAGAACTCTTTTGTTCTCATGAACAGATAGCGTTCACACACCGGAATAAGTTCCTGGGGAAGGATTAGGCAAATGACGCCGCTGACGTCCCCGGAGTTGGGGACTGGCTTCAGTAGAAGCTGCTGGGACTCCCAGCAGCTTCTACTGAAGCCTTCCGAGTAAATCGCCAGAACGCCGACACCTCCTCATCTCCGCCGCTCCCATGTTTTATTTTGTGTTGACATAAGTTAGTCTCTCTACGTTTCTGCGCTGGGCTAATGCTAATAATGCTAATAATGCTAATGCAAGGATAATAAAATGGCGGCTTCACAAAACTTTTGGGAGTTTTACGGGGCGTGGTTTGCAATCCGCCCAGCCAATCAGACATAGGAACCTTTTTCTCCCACTAAAGTACCTGCTCGCTAGCAGGGATGGAAAAGGGGGTGAAAAAGCTTCTGATTAACTAATTTTAGTTCCGGCTCTTTTTGGTGTGAACGCGACATTTTGGAACTATATCGGAACTAAAGTGGGAAAAGTACTGCGGTGTGAACGCGGCTTATGATAGTGTAGAATATTATACCGTATGTTGTGTTTTTCTGGGGTTGTATAGAGCGATGATTTCAAAAGCTGTCCTGTTACACGTTATGTCTGAGAGGTGATACGCCTTTATCTTCCTTGTGAAGAGCTCTTCAACCTGATTCATCACAGAGCAGCCTCAGCATGGGGTACACAGGTACGTATGTTATGAGTGTGTGAACACCATAAGGCTCCTCAGCTCACACACTGCACTCTCTTTTCTTTCTGGTTGTAAAATGAATTCTACTGCTGAAGGCCTGCCCGGGTTAAAGGTAAACTTTAACACTTTTATTCAAACCATCTACCAACCACACTTAACCTCTGAGTGACGCAGCCTTGAGATTCACTAACCTTTCCATCAAACATCCCCAGTTTATGTGTTTAAATGTATGTATGTGTGTGTGGGTGTATATGTGTGTGTATATTTGAACAGATCCTAAATATTTGGGAACATGAGCTCTCGTTCCCTTCTTAATGGCTTAGGAAGTCAATGCTAGCTTTGACGGTGCGTCCGGTGGACACGTCCACGGCCATGGCTCGGATCTCTGTGTCTCCAAACTGCATGAGCGTTTGGATCTCGCGGCGTGGCGCCGTGCTCTCTGTTCCGCTCACATCCAGGCGAAGTGTCCCACACTTCCTTACGCCGGGCTCGCTGATGAAGCCCACCTTCTCCTTCTCGGAGCAGTAGACGTGGATGACGATGACTTGCTGGGAGGGCTTGGCGGGGGTGTAGCTCCTCTTCACCAGCTCCCCCAGTGCCACCGACTGGTCGGCGGCGATGAAGGTGTCGAGGACGTCGGTGCACCAGCGCGTGCCGTCCTTCACCAGCAGCTTCTCTGGAGGGTGCTTGCCCTCCACGAAGCGGTTGAGGACGCCTACCCCGTATGTGAGGGGGGAGCGGCGCACTTTGATGATGCTGGGGTCCAGGCCGAACAGCACGGCCCCTTTCAGAATGGTGAGGCCCACGTCATGGGGGATGATGATGCGGCTGCGGCCCTGCAACATGTCCTGGACAGCCTGCTGCAGCAGGAGGGACTCAGCAAAGCCCCCCACCAGGAACAGGAACTTAATGTCGCTCACCTCCGGCTTCTCAAACAGCTCCGCTGGAGGAGGAGACAGAAACTCAATGAAGGAAACAACTGACTGTTATAGCAAGGAACACATGTGCCATCAGCCACTACTGGTTGAAGTTTATGTGCAACATTTACTGTGGGATATTTATACTGTCTTTTCAATTAGCTTATTTGTTCAAATGGATCTCCGATTTTCTCTACCGACATTACAGCTGTGTGTCAGCTGACCACAGATCAGATCAGTCATTATTCATTCAAATGACCTGCGTAGTCTCTCCCAGCATACACGCGGTTTGATTGGCTAGCGCTTGTACTGTCAAATTTGCATACGCGGGATTTGATTGGCTGATGCCAAGCATCGAGCCTCAAAAGTTGAACAATGTTCAACTTTTGAGGCTCGATGCTTTTGATGCCGATAGATGCTCGTGATGCTTGCAAAGCCATGCCATGCTCCCCACAATGCAGTTCGGCGAAGTTTAAAAATCTTCTACGTCACCCCATTCAAATGAATGGGCGAAGCGTTGAAAGCATTTTTCGATGCCTGTAGTGTAGACGGGCCGTTAGCCCCACCATGAAAAATGATGTTAAAGTAAGCAAAATAAAGTCCGTCAACTCGTGCGGAGTAAATTGCACAGACAGCAGTTAGTAAGATTGATTTCAGTAGCCACTTGTCTGGAAATACCGAAGACCAGAAACGGTTTTGAAAACTTTTGTCACGTAGTGATCGTCTTCTCAATAGAACATCTTTGATAATGTCTTCTGGCCAATCAGAATCAAGATAACGGCGTGGTGTTGTTGCAGGAAGTCCCGACGGAGAATACTTTTGCTGTAGTACAGGGGTGCAAATAACTGGTACGCAGGTTATGTGCGTAATCTGAAATGAGTACCGTCACTTGTGTCACAAAGCGCATTTGCGTACCGACGTACTTGTGAAGCTTTTCCAGAAGGCGGTTAGATCACCGGACGACAGAGTCGGTCTCCGTGTGCACAGACAGGGCTGCTGTTAACGTCGGTCTGTACAACGGAATTGTGCCAAAACTACGCCAACCGGCTGCGGAGGGAGACTCCCCCCCTTCACTGGAGAACTGCGCTAAAACAGCTGATCACAGCGTTCACACTCTGTGGTCACGAAGTACTCCACTAGCCGCCTAGCCGACTTTCCTGAAGTACTCCCCCGTTGATAGAAATCAACACGTAATGAATTAAGACCCCACGGTTTGATGATTGATAGGTGTGTGGGCTGTCTTTCATTTTGACACGCAGAAAAATGTTATAATAAACATAGATACTGTATGTTAAATGGATATATCCGCCTTCTTTCATTTATCTTTCCATTCCCACAACAATATGCATAAATAAATGGCATATTTTGGACATAGTTCGAATGGTGATTAATCGTTTGACAGCCCTAATATATATATATATATATATATATATATATATATATATATATAATGTCTATCCTTTACATTCTTCCAAATCCTTACTAACGTTATACCAGCTAGGCCTATGTTTTACTTCAAGAAAATCAGAACTTATAGCAGAATATATTTAATTCACACAGGACTAAACAAAAATAATTCATTTCATATACTTTTTATTTATTGAATTAGAAAAATGCTATATCTTGATGTCTTTAGCATCCTTTTTTAATGCTAAATTGTTTCTTAAAAATACTTATTTTTATTATCCTTATACTTTGCAACTTGTTTTTTTAGATGGTTTATGTTTGCACAGTGAGATACCAAAGCAAATTCCTTGTGTGTGTAAACATACTTTTTATTTTTTTATTCTGATATATATCTTTATCAGGATCAGGATATGAGGTTTTTCCATATCTCTAAAGCATATTGTATTAGTTACTTGCACAACTTAAAGTGGACCTATCATGCTATATTTGAAACATATATTGTAGGGCCATACCTATATAAAGTATATAAATATATATATTTTTTCAAAATACCAAACAGATCCTGCATTTTAGCAATGCCTCATTTCGCTCTATTTGCTCTTTCCAGCCCTGTTTTTGCAGGGGGCTGATTCTGTGAGCTGCAGCGGACCACACCCCCCTGCAGGAGAGGGGAGTTGCCAGTTACTTTGGCATTAGGGCAGGGATATCTAGATACTTTCCAAGGTTTGACATAATGAATTGTGCTACTTTTAAAGCAAGCAACGATGTTTTCAAATCTGTAATCAAAAAGCTCCTCAAAAACGCTATCGAAGCAGTTCCTGCCGTTGCTACGTTAGTTCAAACAGTAACAACGGACTATTTTTCTTAGCGGATGCATGTCAATTTAAATCAATACAACTATTTTTTAAATCAATAAAATAATTTTCTAAATCCATAAAAGCATTTAAATTAATATTGGGAGTCATGTCGTTACTTTGTCGAGAATGTAATAAGCGGGATAATGTGCACATTGCACATTGCATAATGTGCCTTCATGCCGATCTAGATCCTTCCGCTTCGCGTCGGGCTCCTGATCAGCCTGTCGGTGTTCTTTTCCCCATAATGACCGCGTCGCTGCACATTAGCCCTTACATATGATTATATAGAGTCATTATTCATTTGTTTTAAAGCAGGAGGCGCAAACGCTTGCCTCGGGGTGGGAGAAAAAGAGCCACAGCGGAGAATAAACAGAAGGGCAACCATGGCAACCATGCAAGGGAAGTCTTCTTCACTGCTTTTGTGGCAGACTACAGCGCCACCTACAGGCCTGGCATATCTACTACAGCGTCTCCAGCGCTTTCGAGCAGCAATGGCCGGCCGTGGCCCAACCTCTCCCTGATAGGTGGAGAATTGACCAATAGCCGTAGTGCCACTTTACTGACGTCAGTAAAGTGTTCAAATCTGGATCAGTCTGTATCAGATCCGTTGCAGACACTTTTTAAGAGATTTGGGTATGGAGGAAAATAGAGAGGGTTGTGTTTTCTGACACTTGGTGAGTTCCCTGGAACACCGGGGACACATGTTCATGAATCAAAGACGTACAAAAGTGCATTTTGCATGATAGGTCCCCTTTAAGAGTGAAGACACTATGAATACCAGCCTTAGATGTGGAAATCCTATTAATCAAAGCATGACATACAGTTTGTTTGACCACAATAGTGTGTGTTTGTGTGTGTGTGTTGAGTGCAGCTTACTGAGATGTTGGATGATGTGGTCTATGGTGGGCTTGAACAGGGAGTTCATGGCGTCTGGATTCATCCTCAGCATCCCCTGAGACGACCATTTGACAAAATCCACACTGAGAGAGGAAGTGACAGTATTTGAATATATGAACGAAATCTGCAGATAGGGCTCTATTAAAATGATAATGACAACATATTTAAAATAACAATATGTAACAATAAGGCAAATGTTTTGCATAGTTGTATATGAAAATAAAAATATGATAACATAGTTTACACTTACAATCTGCTTAGAATCTTAACATAATCATTTTAAATGATAGCCCAATGTTCATATCTAAACTGACACTAAACCACTAAGATATCAACAATGCTTTCTCACGATGGCTCAGTATCTGACATCTCTAATGATAATGTGCACTGTTCATTTTTCATCGTGAGATATTTGAACGATGATGTGTGTGTCCAATAATAAATCTATAGTGTCCGTCTGCTGTGATCCCATGTGTGTGATTCCTGTACAGTATGTGCATTAGGTTGTGTGTTCCACAGTTGAAGTTGGCACTTCCTGTTAGACATCATAGGAGCCTGGGGCTCAGTGGGCTCCAGTTTCAGACGTATAAATATCTTATAATGTCCCTCACTGTGGGATTATTACCATCCACACAGACAGGAGATAGGCCCATTAAATGGAGACTCCATGCTGGTCCCACAGGTCAGTCGTTACAGAACTCTAAGGCCTGGAAGCCCATTTATTACTTTCTGTCTAACACTAAGTACTAATTGTGTGTCATTATGGCAAAATGGATGCTTTTAATCTTGCTTTTAAATGTATCTCTCCAGCAACCATGGACAGTATATAAGAAGTGATAATGTCACATTTTGGAAACAGAAGTGACACATGAGGGTGGAACTCAGTACAATTGAATATAACATATTATAATTAACTATGATGAAGTGAAAACTCACTGTGGAAGTGTCAAAGTCAAAAGATGATTCCACACACTGTGGTAGCAACCTGTCAATAACTAGGTAACCCCGCCCTAAAGCAAATCTTGGTTTATCCTCAATTTGACTCTAAATAAGACCCTCATATACAAAACCATCATTATGCTGTGTGAAAGATGCACACTGTGATCTCATCAGGCCTTCTTTATGATCCAGACAGATCAGCTGTGGGTTGAAATAACGATAGTGCTCCATCTTACTATACTGATCTATTTAATATGTCAGGGACAGGGGCCTCATTTATAACGCCGTGCGTAGGATTCACATGGGAAGGTTGCTTACGTAGTAGAAATCCAAAAAATAGGTACAGAAATGTTCCGACATTTTCCGATTCACCAAACATTGCGTACCGGCGAGGAAAGTGCGTACGGCACTTCCTACGCCGGTTTCCCTTTATAAATCACAATCGACTCGAAATGCGGTGCAGCTTTTGCGGGCTTCACGTAACGCCCATATTTGCCTATAAATAGTCAAAGAAACGCCCATTCATTCATTTTGACTGACTTTCTGAAGAAGATCGCAGGAAATGACGAAAGAACAGCTAAAAAAGACATCTCACACCGTGTCAGATTCTGGTTATTTTGGGGAGGTCGAGATACATCATATTGTTTGGTGGATGCCGTTTGAACCAGAGTAGCAGCATGGAGGTCGGATCGTCACCAAAATAAATAAATAAGTGGTCTGAAAAAAGTTAATGACAACAAAAATACACATAGCCTTCCTCAGGCAGTGTGTTTGTACCGGGGACAGGAGACCCCCCCTTGACAGGAGACACCCCCTTGATGAGAGACTGTAAGAAGTGATCGGGGAATCCCTCCGGAGTGGAGTCATGACGACTGGATCTGAATTATGTTTTCGTATTTGGTGGTTTGTGTCCCAGCTGTCGATCAGCTTTGCGCAGCGTCTCCACTGCAGCCTGTGCATCTCAACCCCCCCGCAGCAACTCTATATCCACCAGTTAAAGGAAATACAACTAATGTGTTGTGTTATATTTGCTGTACAATTTACCACTTATGGTGTTCTTAGTTTCCATACCTCCTGTGTTTTACGAGCGACTTATCAAGTCTTGGCAAACGGCATAAAACATGATTAAACATGGTAGTATATAAAATCATGCACGTATCTACAACCTATAGAAATGCAAAACGGCGTCAGTTTAAAGTAATTCTGTCCTCCTGCTTACCGCATCATTTATGAGAAAACATTTCATAACATTAACACAACATATTCGAGGTGGTTTTAAATAACATATCCGTATTTATTTATTTCTCCAAGTTATGTGTTTGTGTGCACTGAGGAGTCGCAAACAGGCGTTTGTTAAATCATTTTAAGATTGGCTTTAATCAATGTTTGAAAATGAATTCTTCATATATGATAAATGAGAGGTAACATTTTATTGATGGTATTATTTCCACATATTTCTCTCCATTCTTCCTTCTGCCAACGCGGTGTCGCAGTTTCTCGTCTCTCCCGTGTTTGTGCTTAGTGTGTACGCATGGGTTAGAGTTTGCGTGGAGGACCGCACGTTTTCTCGTCAAGTTAGTATTTTATAAATCGCAAACAGTGCGTATAAACTGGCGTACGCCATTTTTTGAGCGTATATCCCTTTATAAATGAGGCCCCAGGTCTCTGGTTTCTGGTGTGTACTCACTTGCTTTTGCGCAGGGCATGTTCCACGCTGTGGCCCCTGAACTTCTTATAGTAGTCGATGAAGGAGAAGGGCAGGTTGATGTTGAGTGGGTTGGTTCTCTCGGGGGCCGCCGCCCTCTTCCGGGACTCAAACGCGATCATCAGGTCCACCCAGGCTGCTGGTCTCTTGATCTTAAATTGGTCGATGAAATCCTGGCCAAAGATCTTACACAGCAGCTTCTCAAATTCATAATCAATGCCAATGGAGCCATAGGGACCGCCTGGGAAGAGAGGGGTCCTGTGAGACTGTGACTCAGTACAATAGAAGCATAAAAAACACACCATGATTTTCTCACATCTCCAATATTGTATCACCTGCTGGTCTCAGGCAAGAAAGACTGTGCTCAAACTGGTTCAGATTCTTTTCAAACAAGCCTTAAACCTTTTTGATAAGACATCATTAAAACACATTAACTGCGATATATTGTCCAAATACAATCTCCTCAGCTTTGACAATCTCATTCTGTTCTTAAAAATTCGATTGGAATTTAATACCACCACACCACCTTTGAGAAGCTTTTCCACGTCCGCTCTGAACATATGGGGAGAACCTCACGATCTGCTCTAAACGCAGATGTATCCCTCTGCCTTTCACAATCAGTTTTCTCATTTACGGCCATCATTGATTTTGGGAAACCAGTCTTGCCAACATTACTTTACTGTAATTTGAGATTTTAAATGAATGGTAAAATGATATTTCTATTGGCAAATGTACTAGTATTTATATTTGATATGTCTGTGTTTGATGTCTGTTATGTGTGTTCCTTCAGGAACTGCTTTTATCTATTATCTAGCTTTTAGCATCTCTTCTATTTTAAAGATGAATGTATTTGTATGCATGGTCCTTGTTCAATAAAGATATATAATAGACCAGATGGAGTGGTCTTACCTGAGGCCTTATAGAGCTCCTTCAGATGTCCCTCTGGGAGACGGATCTGATGGACAGTCAGGTCCACGGTTCCTCCTCCACAGTCCACCACCACGTAACGGTCTCCTGCACAGAGGGGGGGTGCAGTCAGTCATGTGCATCAATGCTTCTCATCTAACAGCTCCCTCGCTGCCTCTGATCTACTCTGTACGCCAGGGGTGCCCAACCAGTCGATCGATCGCGGGGAAATTCACAGTCGATCGCGAGATGTGTCTAAAAATAGAACAACAATATTCTGTTTTATCGTTAATGTCCTATAACATAATCTTCCCGTGCCAGAATAATGCACTTGAACGCATCAAAGCTTTGTGATTGGCCGGCGTGACCCCATGGGTTGGGGCGTGGCTGGTGGGCAGTGGGCACTATTTCGCTGACATTGTCCGTGTCAACAGGAGTGACAGTCCGCACACACACAAGACCGCAATTACGGCAGAAGCAAAAAAGCCCAAAATATATAATTTTCACTCCGAGTGGGAGGATGATTATTTTTGTATCTATTCCAATTCAAAGTCCATCTGTCTCATCTGCAATGCGAGCGTGGCTTTATCGAAGAAGGGTAATTTAGGAGCGGCATTTCAAAACAGTGCACAAACGCTACGAGACGGAATTCCCTCCTAATTCTGCCCTACGCTCCCAAAAGGGGAGGGGCCTGAAAGCACAGCTAAATGCACAGCAGTCCATTTTCACCAGGCCCAACAACAAGAGCAAGGCTGCTACCAGAGCATCTTATCGTGTCAGTCACGTTCTTGAGAAACACATGAAGTCTTTCGAAGACGGCGAAGTTGTGTAAGAAGCATTCCTGGAGACTGCTGACGCGCTTTTTGGGGACAGTAAAAATAACAGTAGCATTTCAAAAGGTTTTTGATATAATAAAAACTCAAGTTGGATACCGTTATTAATCAGCTGTAAGTTTTAGTTTGTTTGAACTTATTCATTATAATTATTGTACAAAATGGTATAAGAATGCAAACTTAAATTGATTATAGTCTATTATCAATTCAGGTTAAGAAACTAGTGTTGCTTGCATCCTATTTTAAAGGCATTTATTTTTATAATCTACTAAAATGCAACAAAAAAGGGTTTGATTCTATTAATGTTGTCTTTTTTATTGCACTTTGGCAGCAGATTCCTGTGTAGCTTCAGATCTGAGTTGTCTTATTAGTAAGCCTCATTTATACTTTTGTAGCAACACTATTTTTATATAATGGCAAAGAAAGGATTCAGAGTCTTTTCTTTTTTTCCCTGTGTCATATGTGGCAGCACTGTTCATTGTTTCTTGAAAACATTACCTACTGTAGTGACGTGTGAATAAACTCCAACTCTGTATCAACAACACTGTTGTGAAACTTCAGTTAAATACTTGTATGTGTGTAGATTAGAAAGAGGTAAGATAAAGGATCTGCAGTATTTTATGAAGTATTCATCGTACAAAGGTCAGTTTTATACAAGTAGAAGTGTGTATTTACCTGGTAGTAGGCTGTCAGTAATGGCTACGCCTCTCTATTTGGACTGGTAGATCTCGGCAGACTGGCAACTTTAAAAGTAGCTCTCGGTTCAAAAAAGGTTGGGCACCCCTGCTGTACGCTGTTTTCAGGAACATTCTCAGGAGAGTTGGACGAGACTCTGTGTGTCTCTGCAGCTGGTTGAACCTCAGAGCCCTGCGTCCTCTCTGGGGCTGCAGTGTGAGCAGCACAGTGCAGGAGGTAATGACACAGACTCTTAAGGGGCTTTAGCTAAGACAAGATGGTGGGCAGTTTGGACATGATTTATGCAGTCAAACTACATGTAACAGAAATGCAGCTAAATGCGGGGAGTCAAGTAGTACGAGTTACATCTGTATTTAACCAAAATAAATCTCTTTCACTGAAAGGATCTAAGGGATTTTTTGTTATTATAATTGTATTACTGAAATTAGGAAAAAGGGTCTTTGGTAATGTATGCTGCTTCTTTCAGCTGAGTGGGCGGGCCATTGAGCGTGTAACTGACAGCAGAGCGAGCATGCAGGTAGAAAGGAAAACAAGTTCAGCTAAGACGTTAAAGTCAGTGTGGAGAGAAACTCAGCAGACTAATGTTGACAGTCAAAGTTGAGCACTGTAATCATAACCAATGGCAGGCGCAATGAAGAGAAACCCAGCATGAACTAAACTGTAGTTTGTCATCCAGGACTTTAGAAGTAAAGAAAGCAACACACTTTTAAAAATGATGACCTTCAGCGCCTTTCTGTAACAATTACATTTTCTCCAGATTATTACAGTTCCTCAAAAAAACAAAATGCTCTATTTCAGTAATATCTAAAGTTAGTACCTAAAAATAAGGATTGGCAGCAAAGGAAACAGCAACAGTGTTAACCCTAGAGGAAAGGAAGATGGAAAGAGGTGCAAAAGGAGAAAAGACTCTACCTTCTTCCAGCTCCGCCCAGAGCTCCCCTATGACATTCTCCACCATAAAGGTGCGGCTCTGCCGGTTGCGCCGCACATGCTCCTTCGCTGCTTGTTAACAGAGAGAAAGAAGGTTCTGGTGAGTGTGAGGAAGCTCTGCAGTGAGAGGCTGTGGGGCTCAGGTACAGGAGTGTATGAGGCAAGCAGCAAGCTGAGGTGCACAAGTATCACACTGTGAGCTACTCTCATACTATAATTACTTATTAAAACCATAATGCATACTTTCAAGATCAGCTAAATCATTACAATTAGAAAAAGATCACTTGGCTGTTCAGTACATACAATTGCAACACATACATATGTATAGATATAGAGAACATTAGTGCTCACAGTGTTACCATGCAGTGAAACAAAAAACACTTTAACTCAAGGAAAGTCAACTTCACCTAAATCAGTTCATTATTACGGAAGAGCATTAGGGCCACATGAGAAAATGTTTTAGGGATGTGACCAAAAGCAGCAGGAAGACCTGACAGGAGTTCATGTCAGAGGGACACTTCCCCCTACACAGAGGAAACAATACAGGGACTCTCACAGCTCTGCAGAGGGCATTAGAGAGGGGCATGTTGTTCCAGAGGCAGAAGGACATGAGGTCAATGACCCATCAGTCAATCACATTTATTTATACAGGCCAATATCACAAGGTACACATTCGTGTTGGGAGGCTTTAAAGTATGTTCAGCACACAGCATCCTCTGTCCTTAAAACCCTTCAGAAGGAAAACTCCCCTTGAAATCCCCCAACTAGTATGGACATGTGGGAGACACCTCGTTGGAGAAGTGGAGATACTCTGAGATATCTCCACTTCAGCAGACATTAAAAAGCTTCTTTTATATCTTCTTTTGGAGAAAGAGATATGCTTTACATCAGATCTGTTGTTGATGTTTACAGCAACCTGTCACTAATACTATTCTTGTGTTCCTTCTTTTATTTCTGATCTGAAATCTCAGATGGTTACCATGAATTACATGGCAGTGAAAAGGCAAACAGATCAAGCTACATGTACTGCACTGACTGGAGACCACTGTACATCAGCTGTAACAGAGCACCTGATCCATGACTAATGTTCCACACTCTGATTTCTCTCACCAGCACTCCTGCTACAGTATATCGTGAGTGGGATGTACGGACAGATGTACAGACTGACTCAGAATGACTTTATGCCTCTGTCCTCTGCATGCCAGCGGGGAGACCTAACACACACAGACTCAACACAGCCCAACAGTCAGCTGGGGGACATTAAGGCCAGTAACAAAGTCAGAGATGTGAAGTATTAATAATGTAAGAAACACTTTTTTGTGTAGGATAACTTGTAAAACTTGTAAAAGAAGCCAAATCAAGCTCAAATGTGAAGGTTGGAAATAGACATAAAGTCATGCATTTTGTGTCTGAATTAAAAAAGATAGCATGTTTACCATGACCTGGAGAAACTATGGATGGAACAGCATTCAACAGGAGAAAGAAATGTTACATGGTCAGTACTTGGGCTTCCAAACTGTAAGAATGCACACATTCAGAACAATCTGCAGGACAGATGTGAGCATGTTCTAATGATTTATGAAGCTTCATGGGTGAGACATTCTGTGTGAAAGCATCATGTGTTCAGATAGTCAGCACCACCTAATGTACCTTGGGTTATTACGCCCCCCACATTCTCAGTGGGGCTGCAGCCGTTCTGGGTGGTGTTGGTGCCCAGGTCCACCATCTGGTGGAGGCGGAGCTTGCGGCAATAGATGGATGCTGCCTCGGGTTCCAAGGCGATGATCAGCTGCTCAGGGTTCTCACGGCTAACCAGACCAGACTACATAAGGGAGGAATACAGACAAGAGAAACACCTTTAACTTGTGAATGAACATACTATTGGGCTAAAATGCCCACAATACTGTCTGAAGGTGTTGTTAGAGCCACAATGAAGTCAAAGTTATACATTTTAGATTCATAATTTGATAAATGAATTAATGATGGAAAATGATTTATATTGCCATGGTGAATATCTTTTCATGAAATGATTGTTCATTTCAAATCGTAAATATGATCTGTTTCCTTGTACCTTCCAGTGTTTATTTAAGTGAGGTAATTGAGGACAGCCGCGGGCTCTGAGACCTGATGAGACGGGGAGCGGAACAGTTTTTCGACCGCAAATTGTGAACAGAAATTAGTTTTGCAAATTGGACTGCAAAGTATAGTTTATATAGGAAAGCATGCCGCCGAAATATTGATTTAGATTTGTTATTTTGAGACTATTTAAGTCAATACTTTTTTGTTAATAAATTACATTTTTTGACTGAAAACCTTCGGCTGCTTATTGCTTTGGATTGCGTGTCGTCAACCCCGCTCTATAGTGGCAAAAGGAAACCTTGGATGCCACTACAGGTGTGTATGCTTTGTTTAAGGCTTTTTTTTATTATTGTTTCTACAGCAACCACAAAACACAATAGTTGTTGATGTTATTATGTTAACGGGTAAAATATATTTACCGCAAATGACTCACATTTCTAAACTTGACCCCAACTTCCTCCCAGAACTCCAGTGTGGATTTTTACCAGTCTAATTACATGGCTAACACGGACAACACAATGACTGTGAACAAATGAAGTATTATTTGCACAAAGCACATCTTGGCTGATGTTCCCTAAGGTGCTAGCACCGCCAGTCAGTTTGGATCAGAGTGTTTGTCAGACTTCACTGGCAAAGTGCAACAAGGGCGAGTCTGTCAACAAAGTGACACCAGCTATGCTAACCAATGCTATTGCTAAATGTTTCTTCATAGGCACTATGGCATTCTGTTTCGTAGATATGCCTACTCACTGTAGAATTAATTTGGATGAGAAGTTAATTTACAAACACTTGTTACTGTTTCTGCTAATTAAGTGCCATTCATGACAATGATTCAAGAAATCATCAAAAACAAAGCTGAGATCTTCTTATAAAGTAAAAATCCCTTTGATGTATCCTAACAGCTTGTCAATCATTTTCCTTTTATGACACAACACATTTATTTGTTTTTACCTCCCCAAAATCCAAGAAAAATATTAGCATTTAAAACTATGTTAAACGCACACTGTTCATAGCTAACCGTACTGAATGTAAAACCGTGTAATTCTTAACTTTTACCCAGGATGGGTAACCCACTTTGTCCAATATGAAACCAGAATGAAAGTATTTGTCCCATAACTTTGTAACTCTTGCCGTTATGTTATATAAAACACCATTATACTTCTAGAACTAGCAGAGTTGATGTGTTGCTGTACAGCACCATATATGAGGAATACAATGTCATAAGATATGATCACAATTGCGGTTATGTTGGTTTTAGGGGTGGATTAAAAGAGAGAAGGGCTGTGGGTGGTGTCCCAGCCCCAGAGGGCTGATGGATGACGTGTCCTCCCTGAGCAGCCAATCAAATGATCCTTACTGCCTGATGCTGAGTCACTGCAGACACCCCTCCCCTCTTCACTGTGTCTCCACCTCTGTGTTTCACTCACATCCTCTGTCAGCTCATCCCTCCATCCTGCCTCCAGCGCGGCTTTTTAGCTTGCCTCTTTTTTATTTCTGCCCTCCTCTGCACCCACACCCTTCTCTTTCCCCCATTTTAGCTCACACACTAGGGATGTGAATAGGACAAAAGGATGATATCATCGGGGAAGAGAGTAGCAGAAACCAATAAGAGAAACGCTTAACAATCTATTGTCTATAACCAAAGTTCCCCTTAGCTCTGCCATAGTTGTGGGTTGTGACAAGGCTTGTTATAATAGTCAGGTTGTCATGTTTGGTACTATCAATACCAAAACCTAAACCTGGGTGCACTGACCCCAAGCTGTTCCCCAGCCAGAGACACTGCACTGAAGGGCTGGGCAGATCAAATGTTCTCTATCAAAAACAGAACTTGTCATTGGTTGTCCGGTGCCTTGCTCAAGGGCACCACGGCAGGACCCAGGAGGTGAACTGGGACCTCTCTAAGTAGCAGTCCACATTCCATATTTTAAGTCTGTTCGGGGACTTGAACCGGCGACCCCACAGCTCACAGTCCAAGCCCCAACTGACTGAATACTCATAAACACATGTGCAGTGAAGTATCGATTTATAAAAATGTTCTAATATTATAATCTTTATTTCACTGGAATTATTATATACATCTCAGTTTCCAAGAGAAAAACAAAAAGTATATTTGACTGCTCAGATTCATCAGTTAACATAATAATGCAGTGAAGGATGTACAATCCCCGCCTCAGACCACCACCAAGCTAAAAACAACCTTGGGTTGACTGGCTCTCTACTGCCACTTCTGTAAGAATAATACACTCACAGCGTAAATGTATTCTGCAGCTAACTGAGCTGAATATCTACTTGTATCAAACCACTTCTAATAATCTTTTGCCAGCCCTTTTTGCAGTGTTGTTGAAAGGCTACCTTCACAAAACTATAAATAAAATAAAAAGTATTTACAAACTAATTGTCTGGTCTAGCGTGCTGCAAAACTATCCACGTTACAACTTTCAATAGTTCTCCTTCCTCCTTTTCTCTCTCTCTATACTGACTGCCTCCCTGTGTCCTCTACCACAGTCTGAAGGTCACTGTATGTGGGCGTCACACAACAGTAAGCACGCACCTCTCTCTCTGCAGTGATGATTATCTAACACACATCATTGGAGCTAAAGTCAGATCCTTTGTGCAGCCATCCTCACTATATGGTTACAATATTGAGTCTGTAAACAGATGTCAAGTTACACAGGCATATAAAGCTTCTCTGCCTACCTTATATGCAGCCTCTCTCATGAACTGCTTTGCAGGCATTTTCCAGATGGCAGGAACAGTAATGACCCATCTCACATCATTGTTGTCAAACTCTCCACCTGTCTGATCACTCAGCTCCTGCGGCAGGAAAAGTAAACACAACCAACAGGTTAGCAAACAAGTGCTACACATCGCTTTTGATGCAGTACAAGTTCCCTGAGCTATTCAGCGTGACACAAAGTGCCCCCTGCAGTAGTTAGATTTAGCATGTCTGAATACTAGTAGCCTATATTACAAGATAAGTAATTATTAACTTCAGGGTTCATTCTGGGATTAAGCCCAAATGATACACACTATGTAGATTGTAGATATAAGAATATAACAAATATATGTTGTTTTGTATGTTTACAACAAATGATTCGGTAGTGAAGACAGAGGTGTGTTACCTTAATTGCTTGCTCCTTAAAGAAGGCCAATGCATATGCAAAGATATCAATAGCTTTCACTCGCTTCCCATTGGCTGCGTGGAGGTCTGTTTCTATGGACAGATTCTGAGTGCAGGAAGAAAACATCAACATTAGAGTTTAAAAAAGGACATGAAATCAGAACTTCAGCAGAAAAGTATATGCATATGAGGTCTGGAAATACATTTCATATATCCTCTTTGAGGATCGTACATATATGTGACATTGCTCAGCCAATTGTCAGACGGTGTCTTCCAAACAGTGTATCTCTGCAGCCAGCAGCCAGACGGCCATCAAATATTCATGGGATGATTCTTAATGGTTGACGGCGCTTTTCCACTGCAGGACCTAGCACGGCTTAGTGCTTGGTAGGCCAGGCTTACTTTATGCTGCGTTTCCATTACAGTTTAGTAGCTGGGGCAGTAACTATAGTAACGCAGTGTAGGCGGAGGGATGCTGCGTAAAACTGCCGTGACGTCATCTTCAATGCGAACCACAAAACCAAAACATCAGCCGTTAGCTGTTAGCACTCAGAGCTCACAGCTCCTCATATCTGATCAGAAACTAGACAAAAGTTAAACAAGTACAGACCACAGACTGCCTGTGTTATGGCGAATACAGTCGCTGGTTTATTTATGTCTGTAGGCCGTTGTTGTGAGTGTGGACGGTCAGAGCATATACAGCGTTAGCTTAGCCTGATTGATCCGATCTTCATTCAGAAAACACCGAGATGTACTAACCGTATGTTGTTACTTCGGCATCATTTTGAAATGTGTATTACAATTAAATCACGGTATGTTCATTTTGTTGTAGTTGTAGCCCCCTTGCCAGTGATTCTCTCCACCATTCAGCAGTCGAGAGTGTTTACGTCACTAGTTTAGCATATTCAGCCTGGTTGTTGGCCCGGTAAGAACCTCGATTTTGGAGGGCCAGAAAAAAGTGAAAAAGTAGCCCAGAGCCGGAACTACCCCTAGTGGAAAAGCAAAAAAAGCGGGTCGGGCTACGTGCTGCAGTGGAAAAGCACCATTAGTAACCCAGTAACCTTTCCTCTTTTTCCATTATTAAGGTTAAGTCTTTTGTCATTCTATACTTTTCTCATCATTAACAAACTTCATGAAAATATCAAATGTTTTACTGTATATCTCAATCGTTTCACTAACCTACATGTCTGTGACACTCAGAATTTACTAAGGATGTCAATCTTTAAATCAGCTCACACATAAACAGCAGGCCAGTGCAGTTCTTATCAAATGTAACTCAAACTGTATTAGAGCAGTTGTTATGACATCTTTTCAGTTTTTATATAATTTGAGTTTGTTTGGCAATGAATTAGTGTAAGTGGGATTAATATCAAATACATGACAGGGTTTGTTCATGGTAGTACAGGAACATGGGAAGAATAAGCTATGGATACACAGTACACAGTACTTGATAGTAGGATAAATGTATTGTTGGTTAGGTCTGTACATGGGGTTTGCTGTCAATTAAATAAATATTGAATATTGATATGATTGACCCTTCAGTTTCAACATTATAATACCATTGTTAGGATATATTTATGCTACGGGTAGGACGGATGGCTGATTATCAGTCATATCAACCCCCTCTTATATACTGAATGCTTGGTGATTCTCCATAGGTTTTTATGGGTGGAGCCTAAGCAGCATTAACAACATCAACACAACAACTTTAAATTAAAATATAGTGCAACTGCAGCTATAATTAGTTATTTTTAAAATGTAGATTGACATCAAATGAAAAATTAGCTGAACCTTTTTTTTTTACAGATTTGTACAGTAAACACTACTAGGACTGCAGAGACTTCCCAGTATGCATAGATGTCATTGTAAAACCTACATTTTATGTTCGAACATGTGTTTGATCCAGTGATAAATAAATCATCTGTCCATCTATTACAACACCACAGCAGACCAAGAGGCAGGAACCCTGGCACAACAGCCACTGGCATAAATAACAAACACAGCAAGAAGGAGGAACAGTTGGTGCAGCATCGACCTGGGGCAAGGTGATGAGGATGGGCTGTGATGGGACCGCTGCTTGGCATGCCTGACTGCTATTCCGTGTGTGTGAACAGTGTGTATGTGTCCTTACTGCAGTGGTGTGGAGCTTCATTTTGAATTTTTCCAGATAGAGCCACTGTTTGGACTCGCTGGGGTCCAGGTCATGGTAGAAGTCACGGGCAGCATAACCAAAGCTGTGGAACTTCCTGTCTGGAGTCAGCAGGATGGTGGTTGGAGTCTTCTGATTGGACACACCAGGGTCCCCGCCTTCCCAACGCCTGCGAGAAAGTCAGTTATTATTTATGTACCATAAATCTGTATTTCTGTTTTCCTGGTAGTCAAATAAAGACTTTTTGAACTGTAGGCAGCTTAACATTGTCATGAATAATCGTTAGGCTGTTGAAACCACCCAACTTCTGACCATCACATCACATATAAATAAGCATCTATTACGACTTATATGCAAAGTGCAAAGTGATTTCAGTTCATGCTTTCTGTAACATTCACAGTTTACCGCCTAGACCCAAATACAAGTGTTCACGAGAACACTTGTATTTGGGTCAAGGCGGTCATTACATTGTGTCAGGATAACCACGATCCTCTCTTGTAGGCTAATTGAGACACCACAGTATTTCTGGATAAATGGAGGTCAGCTATTATTAGTCATATGTTCCTTGGGAGAGGTGCATGATGGAAAGGCGGGGCCATCTCACTAAGAGCACCTGATGTGAAGAGGAACTCGTTTGGGAGATCTTGTAAAAAACTGGATGGAACTGCTAACAACTGGAATATCTCCTACATTTTCATCCAGAATAACAGTGACAGTCATGCTGCTGTCTGTTCTCGCTCTGCTTTGTGTAATCTGCCTCTAACTCTCTGTTGGTGTGTGTTTCTGCATCTCATGTTATTTTAGTCTGCTCAGTAAATGTGGGTATTACAACAATCATAATACTATATTGTCCTTTATGTTTTTTTATTTCAATCAACTGTAAACATATAATGTACAACTGCTGTTCTCTCACATACCAACATACAGGACGACAGCACAGGAAATAACTGTCTTTCTATGAGGAATATAGCTTTTCCTTTGTAAGAGGACAATTATTTCTTAATTTAAAAGTTACAGTCTTGCTTAAATAAATGGCATTATTTAAAAAATATTACTGATCTGTCCCTGACTGTGATTGGCAAATTGGAGAACAGATCTACACCCCGTATATAAAACGATATGTTTTATTTGATCTCCTCCATTACAGAGAGCTCAAGCACCATGCAACACATTGGCTACACTCACAAGACATTGTTTATCTACTTTCTTCGCACAATACTAATAATCCATATGAACAGATATGATTGCAGAATTTGTAGGCAACGTTAAAGATTTCTGGTTCCTGTCTGTAGTTCGATTAGCATTGCTTAATAGAGCAGTCTATGGTTAAATGCAGGTCCATCTGGAGAGCAACAAAAAAGGAAAGCATTGGCAGAAATGAAACCTCAGATCTCATTGGGTACTGACTGACGAGGATTTAGCTCTTTATGCCCTAACAATGAAATAATCCGGTTGTAGTCTGTCAACTCCAACTCCATTCTAAGATTAAAGATGTTAAGACGGCTGTGAGCAGTAAGCGGCGCACAGACAGGAAGTGTTGTACTGATTTCCACTGGCCCCTGCCTCCACAGGCTAAAAGCCACACTGTTATCCGGAGGGTTCTTAGATTGTAATATGCATAACTGCAGACAATTGGCCGTCTGCAAAACAAATGAATGCAATAAACTGTACTCAAACTACACACAGCAAAGCCGTACAGGTAGGTAACAGAACTCAGCACAGATTCTCCAGGACAATCATTCCTCTATTTTAAAAACACAACTTAATATTTGTGACGCTTAAAGGGTTTTGAAAGATGAAGAGCAGCTGGATGTATTGTGGGACAGACTTGATGGCATTACTCTTTTAATGGGACATTTGTTTAAATATTATGGCAGCCCTATCCTTTAGGTCAGAACACCAGCAACACGCCAGGCAGCCTGTCCAGATCAGGGTGGAAAGCAAACAACGCTTATACTGAATCATGCACCTCACTGAAGCATACACTGAGTAAAATGTGTCTTTTTCTATGAGAAGGCCAACTATAAAAAAAATGTACTCTGAAAAACTGAAACGTTTACTTTAATCAAATGTATTATGTCATCAAATGTCACATAACTGTATTCGCATAGTTGAAAGCAATAATATCAAGTTTAATACAACATATATTGCTTTCAACTACCCTAATACAGTTTTTATTTGTTGACATAATACACTTAAAGGTGGGGTATGTAATTTATTTCAGAAACACTTTTTGTTATATTCCGTGGAATGCTCTTAACATCCCGATAGCAATGAATACATTAAAATGTAAATGCTTTGACAATAAATAACACCGTAGCGCTGTAAAAAGCACGACCAATCATCTGAGCCGGCTAAAGTAACTGGATGGCCTACCTGCCTGTCAGCCTTCCATCTGTGCACACACTTATCTCGTGCCCTCATTGGTCATGTGCGCGTTCGTGTGTGTTGGAGGAGGGGCTCTGGAAGGAAGTGGCAGATTTTTTCCGGCTGTGTATTTTCAAATTCTAGTGATCTCGAGCTGGTTTCTCCAAAATGACCTACCCCACCTTTAATTAAAGTCAATGTTTCAGTGTTTTCAGTGTATTCAATGCAAATAATATCTGGAAGCTGCATCTCTGTGAGGTTTTGAGGAGATGAGGAGATGAGGAGATGAGGAGATGAGGAGCTGTGACGCCAGCAGGTTTCTGGATCATTTGTTTCCCTCACAACACGTGAGGCCAGCAGGTGAATGCTAATGTTCAGTATGAGGAATGTCTGGTACCAGCACCCAGAACACCCCCACCCGTCTGATACAGCTTTTCAAGGATTCCTTGCTGGAAACGTAAACCCTGACAGGATCCAGGACGCCTCGGTCCAGCTCTTGTTTTTGTAAGGATTCCAGCAGAGCAGCTGGATCTGTTTAACTGCACATCTAGTAACACTTAAAATATCTCATTCTGTTTCTTATGATAGTCAGAGACAATGACTGGTGTGAGAGGGAGTTCCTGAGGCAAAGTACCAAGTCCTGTGTGGGATATTAACTCTTTAAAGGTATTAAAGAATATAATACTTTTTAACTTACTTTTAAAATCACAAGATATAAGTGAGTTTCTGTTGGTTTGGATAAATATGGAACGTTTAAAGTATAAAAACAAATCGTATTAGTATTAGTAATTATGTTCTAAATCCCTACCCTTCCTATGTTTTGTAACTTAGTGACTTTTATGGTGGCTAACTCAAGTCCTCCTCAACACGTTTCGCAATGATGACGTTTGAGAAGAAAAACTAAATATAACACAGGCTCAATCAATGTTTTTTTCTTTTCTGAATGATGTAGATATCTTTAGGGGTTATCTCAAATAGAGCCTGGTGTTGACCCATGCCTGCTTTATTTGTTTGTAAGTGTATGTGCCTCCATTTCTTTTGAACTAAATCACTAAATCCCACAATGCAGCTCTAGAGCAGTGGTTCTCAAATTGGGGGGCGCAGAGGCATGCCATTTAAAAAAAAAAAAAAGATCATAATTAAAAAAATTATTGATTCGAAAATAATATGATGCAGTACAGTACTATTACGTCTGGGTCTTTGTGTTTCATTAAAGCTGGGCTCTGTGTGTGTGTGTGTGTGTGTGTGTGTGTGTGTGTGTGTGTGTGTGTGTGGTGTGTGTGTGTGTGTGTGTGTGTGTGTGGTGTGTGTGTGTGTGTGTGTGTGTGTGGAACGAGCCATTTTGTGTGAGAGAGAGAGAGAGAGAGAGAGAGAGAGAGAGAGAGAGAGAGAGAGAGAGAGAGAGAGAGAGAGAGAGAGAGAGAGAGAGAGAGAGAGAGAGAGAGTTTGTCCCCGGACCCCCCTATGTGAGGTCCACACACCACCTGTAAAAATAGCACTTTACCCCTGCTTACACCTATATGCCGTGAGCTGATTATCGAGCCTTCATTGTGACAGTCGCGGGTACACTGTGTATGTGCGTGTGGGGAGTGTTGCAGTAGAACATTCCACTGTAGCGACCGGTACATTAATGGGAAACCCTAGATGTTTGAGCACCCTCTATGAAACGTCAAGCTACCCCACAGCACCCCCAAAAGAAATCTCTGGCGCTGCCACTAAGCCTGACTATTTGTGTTGGGGGGCCCGACTTTTTTTTTCCTCCAAAGGGGGGGCCTGACAGAAAAAGTTTGAGAACCACTGCTCTAGAGAGAATGCCAAGAATGTGAAGAATCACACATGAGTCATTGAAGTAAACTCCTGTCAGCTGTTAACCCCTGTGGTGCTTGGCCCTGAGGGCTCATGCCACCCAGGGTCAGAGTTCAGCTTGTTTCACTAATAATGTATCATCCTAGAAGATGTTCTCACAAACCTAGGTTTCTGTGTGAATTCTCAGGCACACTGTACTCTAACTATAAATCTACCATCATTTAGTCCGCTTCTAGACGTGGTTTCTGTGCTCAAATGTTTTAATCAGATGTGCTCAACTATAACAGCAAGCACAAGGCTTTTAGTACAGCCTGCTGGTCGAGACACATTGTTAACACATGCACATTTTTAAAGTTACATTATGTAGTGTCATCTCTGCAAACCCAAAACACTGTTAGCAATGACAAGTCTATCATTTGGAATAGTTTTATTTATTTGAAATATGGTACCTAATACTTTTCTTAAATACCTTATGTTGAGTGATATCAGCATACTGTTTCAACAACCCATCTTTTAATAAAAAAAGGAATTCAAATGTGCCAACGCTTTTACTCTTTGGTTTGAATATGAGTTTGTGCTTGAATTAGGATATTTGAGATTAAAGGTCTAGTGATTTAAACAAGGTATTACAACATATTGATTTAAGTCCAGTTGCAAAGGATTTCAGATTTTGAAGATGGCGGGATGTGCACATGCTGATGCGGCTCCACCCCCACAGAGTGTCTGCACTGCAGTGCTGGCCTACCTCATGGTGTGAATGCATTCCGGCTCCTTAGTGAAGGCGTAAGCATAACCGCTGGACGTGGTGCCAAAGTCAATGGCTACCACCACCACGAAGGAGGGGCCCGACGGAACCTGGTCCGTGTCGTTCTGCTGCAGGAGGGGGTGGGGGGGGGGACAGGATGAGATGCTGATTCAAATTCAATTCTTAGGCTTTATTGTCATGTGCACAGTCTCTACAGTGTAGACACATGGCAATGCACATCTTTATGCCCAAGCTCCTCCAACAATGCACCAAAATATATACATGAAATAATAAAACACATCTAAAAAACAATAAAATAGTGCAAGACCAATGTGCAAGTAATGCAGATGAAGTAAACTATATACAAACAAATAAATTCAATAAGCTAAATAATGCAGAGAATGCTTTAAGTGACCAAGTAAACGCAGGAGTCTATATACATGTAAATATAATAACAAAGACAAGAACAGAATCTACAAATAAATATTGTACAGTGAAATAAAATACTGTTTATTGTAGTAATAAATAAATTGTAAGATGCAAAGAATGTCTCCAACAGCAGGGTCACACACACACACACACACACACACACACACACACACACACACACACACACACACACACACACACACACACACACACACACACCAATATAGGCTGTACTTCATGCATTCACATTCACAACACACATCAACAGCATCACGTCCAAAGCGGTCACTGAACAACATCGGATCAGGTCAATAATATCACTTATTGCTAAAGATCAAACCAGCATCCAGCACACACATGGACACACACAGAGCTCTGACATATTTACAGCTCATTCTGAGGCCTGGCTGTAGAGCTGCACAGTGATGGAGGATGTGTTCTGTGGCCTGTGTCCTATCACTGTTGAAGCTGCCCCCCCACTGGGGTGCTCTAACATTGCTATTTAAAGGAATGGTATGCTCATGACACTCATTTTTAAATAATTATCATCCGATAAAACAGACCAGTCTCTGCCAGTCTCTCTTTTTTTTTTTAATCCGATGACATTATCAGTGATTTTAAACTGATTAATTACCGAAATAACATCAACACTGTGGGCGGCGCTATTTTACCGGACGTGACGTAAACCATGCGTTTGGTTTCGAGGACACGTTGATGTTCATGTTATTTACTGTAGTTACTCTCTTCAAATATGCCTCATTGTATCGCGAAACATTGCCACAATTCTGATAGGAACAATCCACGGAATGCTCGGTTCCATCTGTTGCCAAAAGGTAAGCGTAGGAAGTACGTTCGGAGGCAGTGGCTAGCGAAATGTGGCCGGCCCGAACCGAAAGATCTACAGGCGCATGTATGCAGCGAACATTTCAAGTTTCCGGACGACTACTCTGAGAGTATGATAAAACATAACATGGGATTTATTGAACAACCATTACTTAATGGAGATGCAGTACCATCGGTCTTTCTGGTGTCATCACCGACCAGGACACCAGTTCGGCCAGTTGAGAAATCGCCCTCTGCAAGTGTGAAGCGACGGAGGACCAGAAGTAGTGCTCGGAGTAAGAATAAGGTATGTTATAGCGCATTTCCATTGCAGCGGGTAGCCCCGTTTAAACGTCCTTTATCGTCCAGGCCAGGCCAGTTTTTGGTGGCCTTTCCATATAGCGTAGTACCGGCTAGTGGGTATTTTCCCCCAGTTTTTCCGGCCCCATAAAATCGTGGTTCTAGGGCCAGGGACAACGAGGCTGAGTATGCTAAACTAGAGAGGGAATCGCTAGCAAGGGTGGTACTACATGCATACATATCTAGTAATCAAAATAATTGTATCTACTAAGTAGTACTAAGTAGGCTCGAACCTGTATGGCTGAATTCCCCCTTCCAATCTCTTCATTTTGCTCAAAACTTCTTCCTCGGCTGAAGAGTCCGAACTCAAATACTCCATGTTTACAAAGTGAACGCATGGATGACGTCACGACCATCACGTGACTACTGAAAATGGGCAAAATGGCAGCGGCCTGACGGAATATACAGGTTTTGATAAAAAAGAGCTATAAAATCATTATTTACCGGGGAATATCGCTGATTTCTTCAGGGTATGGTTTAAACATAATGTTTCACTAAATACTGAAGTTTTGATTAATTATCTAATGAGTGGAGCATTCCTTTAAGATACTTGAGCGAGTGAGGGGAAACAATGAATAATTGGTGGAACGAGCAGACAGACCAGACACTGTTGTTTTGATGCCATGGAAGGAAAGAAAGTCCTTTTGCCGTATTCACAAAATGCAATATGAGCCTCTAAAGACAGATATTGCATTAACCAAACTGTACCTCAACATACTATATTATCAGAAGAGGAACAGATTCAATGTGATTTAAAACATGTGAGCACATAATGCAAATAGACTGTAATGCAACACTATAACACCCCTGTTGTGCAACATTACTTATATTCAATATATATATATATGTATTTATACCGCTTTATAACTATTATTATTATTAATGGCTGCTATCCCTTAGTAAGACAATGTAACTACTGTAATACATCTTTAAACAACTGTGCAATATGAACTTCCACTTAAAATAATATCACTTTGCTGCTATCGCACTACTTTATACGTGCAACACATACTTTTTTAAATACTGTAACTGGTTGTGTATTTTGTAAATTGTAATTTGTGTATTATACACACAGAAAGCATGAGAAGAACAGAGAATAGACACTGATGTGATTAGAGAGTTACCTGAGTGTGTGAGGGAGACAGGGGGGTGATTCCAGGGTCCCCCATGCTCTTTGCTGGAGACGGATTAGCCATTTCTTCTGTAGAGGAAGAGAGAAAGATATTTATGTTACAATCTCACACTGTGCCTCTTATTCTTGTATGTTTCATCATTTATGTATGACTTAATTGTACTACTTTTACTTAACGAAACAGTAAAAAGATGAGGAGGAGCTCAAAAACAATCTGGAATCTGAAACCAATGGAAAATGATTGTCTTTGAATCAGGATGCTCTTATACTTCAGGCCAGGGCAATATATATATATGTTTAACAACAACTGAAAATAAATGTTCAGCCTGCCCATAAACTAGCTAGTTAGGGTTTGTTAAGTAAAGCCACACAGTTCCCAATGTTATTTAAAAGTTGTGTAATCCTGCAATCCATCCCAATGATCAGACTCTTCCTTTAGAGTTGGCACAATGGTAACTATCCTTTCTGGTGTCTTGGATATCATCAACACAGCCCAGTTAAAAAGTACAATGAACAAATAATTGAATATGAAGAGCATGAGTCGCTTTTGTTCTTCACTCCGGCCTTCTTTTGTTACGTTGGGCCAGCTAGCAGATGTGATGACCATATAACCATACTCTGTATTACCATGGTTACTGAAGGAACTCAACTCAAGCATGTTGTATAATTAGGCTGTATACAAAATGGTGGTATTTGAGTAATAAAGACCTCTGACCTTGGGACCTAACTCAACTGAAAGTCAATTTATCAGCTTGCTCATTTTAGCCTGAATGAAGCCCTGAAGCAGAAGAGATCAGCTACCTGTGAACCTTCCCACTCACAGGGAAGAGGTCAAAGGTCATGGACCAGGAGCAGGTGGACAGCTGGAGAAAGATCCAGAAGGACATTCTGATGCCATTTTAACATGCACAGGGGCTACCTTCTCACCAAATAACAACCACCTTCGTACCACTTCAGAAGGTCTCATGATCAGGACTGAGCAAACATCCACTGACCAACACCATCACCATCTAACGTTATGCTACTGCTGGTGCTATTATCAGGACAGTTTAGTTAACTATCACATATGACAAAGAAAAGAACAAATCATCTTATTTGATCATTTATTTTGATATTAAAAGGACTGAATACATTTACAACAATTGCAGTTGTAGGTCAATGTTTGGTTGATTCACTAATACATAAATGCACTAATCTCTACACACACTTCATATTACCACACAAACACGTAACAAGAGACTTCACATCGTGTGGAGATAAACGAACGCCCTCATTAAGGTGCTGTACTGGTATTGTGAGTTATGGTATATTCATGTACTTGAATATATTGACTAAACACACAGGAACAATTGGCAATATCTTTTTTCTCCACATTTTTCTGTTACTTCAGTAAGTATATCCAACCATTTTTAAATGTTCCTTTGTGCACTGAACATCAGAACTCAACAAATATTAAACATAATCTTACTGTCAAAGTACATATAGCAAAACCTTTGTGGGGAGAAAGCAGAAAGCATGGATAACATTTAACAGACACATTGCTGAGACTTGCCATATGTCTGTAACATCACCTGTGCCTATTTAATACTGAATACATCCTGTAGTTGATTAGCGGGGTTTAGAAATGCCAAGAAAGTAAATCTATGAAAAGAGCTGTGTGCAAAAAGTGCCAAGTTGAATTCAATGTGGGTGCAAAGCCGAACATGTGCTTTGGGGTTTGGGAGACATGAGCTTAGGTTTTGTTCTGTGAGTCTCACTAATAATCATTATGTGTCACTTGCTCATTTGTGTGAAACAATTAATCTGCTATCAGTATCTGAAATCAGCTCAAGACTTTGATTAAATGCTACAAACACACTTTGAATGAATGAAGCAGAGCAGAAATCCTCCTGGTTTGATCCTAATGAGCGCTTCCAATCAGTGGGTGGAGGGTCTCAGAGAGCATCAGCTCTGCCGTCTGATGCACCTGTCTCTAAACACAATGACATTTCAATAAGAGATTGTCTCCCCATTTGCTGCCATCCTTTTCATTAGTTGGACTTAATAGCCTCCACAGAAAGTGTTCTTTGAACACACAGAATAATAATACTCCCTCGACATATTGTAAGTGTCTGGCAGAATTGTCTCACCACAGGACATCAAGTTATCCATCCTTTTTTCCGCCTCGATCACCCTTTTCTCTTGTCCACCCCTACAGAGTGGATGAGTGGTCTGAAGACCCGTAATACACTTTTCCAGGCAATTACGGTGCAGAATTACAGACCACCTGTGGCTAGACTCCATCTAGAAGCCCACTCCCAGAACCACCTTTACAACCTTCCTTTTTATTCCTAACAATTGCCAGAAAAATCAAATCACAATTAGAGAAGTAAAGTGATTGCACGCTTGCAGCAGATAATATCTCAAGTGCTGTATTACACAGGTTCTGCTGCTATTGTGCTAGCTCCGTTTGTTTACCTCCATGCACTAAGACATTTAATCACAGAACAGGTAGATGTGCATTGTGAATGGACACTGTTTGTTTACAATTTTCATTCTTTCGACCCTACTATTAAATAAAATCTAAAAGTATCAAGATATACAGTAGTCACACCAATCAATAGTGAGTACAGTCACCGGTTTACAGCTGTGTGTAGAACCCTGACATTGTTGAAGATCCACACACACCCTGCTTCACTATGTAGTCATTTGCATGAAGTTCTAACCTAGCTTTTTCGTAAGGGTTAACCTGTTAACCGATACTAGAGATGTCCCAATCTGGTCACGTGATCGGGGATCGGAGCCGATCACGTGATTTTCAAAAGATCGGAATCGGGAGAAAAAAAATCGGGATTTTATTTTTATATATAAAATATTTTTATTTTAGTTAATGTTACAAAACTAAAATGACCATGTTCACGTCTTAAAGTCATCCTGAGGCCTTAGTTTTGGTTTAAAATGACACATCATCATGTATGTGTTGCTTCTTTTGGGCTTGTTTTCAGACCTGGTTATTCCTCTCAAATCTGGCAACAGAGTGGGCGCAGTGTCTAATAGTAGCAGCAAGCTAACGAGAGGCTACGTTCAGCTGGTGACTCGGGAGTCGGGACAGAGAAAATGTCAGGAGTTTGGAAGTATTATAAAATTGAAAGTGAAGGCAGTGTAACAGCCAGATGCAATGTTTGCAAGGCGGATACTTTTAAAAGGAAAGAGAAACTGCCAAAAACATAACAGCCAAGATAGCTGAATTCATCGCGTTGGATGACCAGCCGTTATCTGTTACCTTTTTTTTCTCTTAATGCATTGCATAAAGATCGGGAAAAATCGGTATCAGCAGATTGTCAAAATCAAATGATCGGAATCGGATCGAGAACAAAACAAGGTGATCGGGACATCCCTAACCGATACCTTACGCACATGTTTCAAAGAACGTCTCAACATGAGGAGATAACTGTTGTGTTTACTTATCACCACATGTTTGAAACCATTACTGTCGCTGACCATTTCTCTTTCACGGGCTTACTTTTATGTAACTGGTTACATTTGTAGTTATATTTCTTTATCATCACTGTACACAATACACTTTATTTTCTCCTTTTTCTTTTAATTTGTTGTCTTCTTCTATTTTAATGATATATTTTGCATTCTTTTTTTCCTTTCTCTTTATGTGTAAATATTACAGTAATATTTAAAGACCTATTATGAACTTTACTATAGGCTCTATGTCTTTTAAACATTTTGAATAGTATCCTGATGGCAGTGTTCATTATTAACCAATACTGCAGCAGCGATGAAGTCATCCAGGCTCCTGATTGGCTGAACATCATGTTTCACAGTGGAGGGGCATCATTAAAATTAAACAGGAAATGTTGTATTTCTCTAAAAACCAGCTGAACTCAAGTTGACATAGCAACGCTGACTGTGCCGCTGAAAGGATGGTAAGTCTCTATTTCTCTCCTCTCTGCAGGAGCAGTGACTTCCTGTTGGCCTCACATTCCATCTATCCCCAAACAACTGCTCCTCAGAGGCCCGAGCCACGAGAGCGTGTTGGTAAAATGATCAGGCACTTGACAAAAAAAAGTCAATTAGTCTAAGTACAACTGGAAACAGATTCCTTAGAGTTTAAAAGGCCCACATCAATAAAGAAGGTCACTCTCACTGAGGGTCTGCCTGATGAAGAGCAGCTAATCCAAAACATGCTTTTAGCTGCTCTCACGGGAGAGCAGTCACCAGAGCGGCAACTTTACCTGGACCTAACCCTACGCTTATCCCTACCGTTTCTGTTATCACTATTGTATTCACTTCCAGTTCACCTGACCCTTCAACTCCCCTCTGTCTGTCAGCAGGGCGCAGTGTAGAGTGCTGTGTTGTGTTTGTGTACCAGGAGCACATGTGAGGCGTGTTGCCCTGCCCTGATTTCCATTGCACATTACAAATATTGCAGCGAGCATTTGCTGCGTCAAGTTTTGAAGTGAAGCTACACCTGCGTGTGCTTTCTGTGGCTTGATCACTTCGATACAAAAAAGACATTCTACAAGTTTACCTTCATCTGGCTCGAATGCCTTACAGCTTTAAAGTGCAGCGATGCTATAATCCATCAAACTGTATATAGTTTAAATATTGTTAATGTTCAGAAAATTGTAAAGAAAGCTGCAGAGAATCTTTGGAAATCAGAGAAGATAATAGAAGGCTGTTTCAGAGGACAGTGGTGTCTAAGTCTGATGAAACACAGACAGAAACAAAGCGGTTCCCTACAATAGCAGCAGAGGAGCTCATTAAATTCACTGAGAGGCACAAACACAACACACTATCAAAGAGCCACATTCATAAAGGAAGAGTTTGAGAAGAGAATGTGCCGTTTCTTCTTCCCATGTGAGGTCCCATTCATCTGTGCCACGCAAAGAGAGACTCCCCCCACACACTCCTCTCTCCCCGGCCCACTGCATCCACTTGGCCATCAGCCCAGACACACAGTGCAGAGAACCAGTCTGACAACAGCTGCAGCCACCAACACACAGCATGTCACTTCTGAACACACACAGACCTGCACACACACTGTGAGGTAGATGACACGGGCCTTTGAGAATGAA